GGTTGCCCTTTGGTATTGGTGTGCTGCGAGCCCCTGCAGAGCTTGCAACCTTATTCCTTGTGACCAGCTTAGCTAAGGACAGCAATACAGAATCTGTGGGAGGCAGGGAGGTGATTTGTAAGGCAGGAAGTCACTGGCTAGCATGCTGTGTTGTCAGCAATACCCCATAGAACTTCCTCACAATAACTCATTCTGCTCAAAGCCTCCCATTGTCTTCACTCTGGAGTGCATGTGAAGTGGGTGGTGTGGAACCCTAAGGCTCATCAGAATCTTGTGTGTCAGTTCTGCAGCCAGACCCAGTTCTGCTACACCTCTTTGAACCTGGCACGCTTTCTTTCTGGAAGTGTTTCCAAACCAGAGCGCTGAGTGCAGCTTTTTCATCCACATAGTGCTTACCAGTTTGTGTAAGCACGTGCCTGCTGGTCCACCTCAGTTAAAAACAATTTACTACCATTTATAAAATTGTTATTCATCTTTTCCAGTGGCTATTTGAGTCCCAGGGCAAATGAGCTTTTGTAGAAAGAGGCCATCTGTTTGAAAAATGATATTAATACTGTCTGGATTATTTTTCCTGGTAGATTGTCAAAGTTCAGTACCTCTTTTTTTTATTTTTCTTCCCAGGCTTAAGTCCTGCCTAGCAGTGACATAAGAAAATCCCCACACTGCATGACTTGATCTTTTTCAAAAAATTGACATTTCTGTCACTGTTGTGTCCTTCCCTGCAGCCTGTATTATCAGTGGAAGGGGAATGTGTGGGCATGTGGTTTCTGAGTAGGAAAAAATAAGCAGCTAAGTGGAACTTTTTGTGTGTTTATATATAAAGGGAAGTTTTAAAAGAAATTAGGTGGGCTGTGTCCCTTGCTTGCTATGCTCGCCAGTCCCCCTATCCTCGCCAGTCCCTGCCTGTAGTCCCTGTCCCTCGGCCCCTCTCTGACTGCCTAAGGAGAGTCAGAGCAGAGCCAGGGGGCAGCAGCAGAGTCTCCTCCCTGCACTCAGGGACCCAGTGGGGAACTGCTGCCTCTGCCTTCCTCGGGCCAGGTGCTCAGGCCACTGCCTGCCTGGCACTCCAGCCTTGTGCTTCCCTCCCCTGCAAGATTTGAGTGCCAGCACCGGCTTCCTACAGGAGGAGGGCTAGGAAACCCCCGTGAGGGGAGGCCTCACAGCTCTGGCCCTCCCAGGAGTGGGGAGGCCACATGGCTCTGGCCTGCTGGAGTACCAGAGAGGAGGCAGAGGGACTGTGGGAGGCAGAATGACATGATGTCACTGTCATCCCGCAGGAAAAGTTTTTTTTTATCTAGAGAGAAACATCACTGATTCTGATTTATTTCATTTTATTGAGCACTGATGTATTCAGTTCAATTCAAATGTTCAAGACCTAGATTCCCAAAGCGTCATGCTAGATGTCACAGCAGAGAGACTAGAAGTTACTGTGGGGCCGAAACAAGCATTGTGTGGTAAAATTCTCCTAAGGAAGGGGTAGACAGTGTGCAAGCCTTGCCTGCAAAAATCATGAACTTGAGAAAGGTATAAAGAGGGCTTTGAACTATAAGTATAGTGAGAGGGAGCACAGATCTGGAAGACCTGCTTCTATTATACAGGCATGGGCAAAATACAGCCTGTGGGTTGGATGCAGCCTGCCAAGCCACCGGTTCAGCCCATAGATGCTGTGGAGAGCCCCAGGTAGGCCCTCTGCTTGCCTCGCCCCACCCACACACCATTCAGAAACACGACTGCAGGGCTGTTTTTCAAAAATTTTGAGTCTGGAGGGGTGGGGGGAAGATTTAGGAGCTGCTCCCGCCCCTAGCACAATCCCATTGGCCAGTTTTTGGCTAGAAACCAGCCAGTGGGAGTTGCCTGTTTGAATAACAGGCAGCCATGAAGCACAAGTGGCTCCAGAACACATGGCTGCTGCCTGTGCTAGGGCAGAGCAGGCAGGGATGTTCCCTCTAAGCTGCATGGCAGCACAGCTTCACGGGGGATTGATCAGCCCCAGCCAGTCAGTCAGTCAGCTCTGTGCATGGAGCACTGAGCTGCTGACTAGGTGTGGCTGATCAATCACCTGTGAAGCTGTGCTGCTGCATAGCTTAGAGGGAGCACTGGCTGGCAGGGAGGCAGATTCAGGAACGAGCTGCTGGCTGATAAGTCTCCTGGTCAGCCCTGCCTCTGGCACCCCAGCCCCTCCCTTCCCCAACTCTCTGCCCCCCAACTCCACATATCCAAATCCTCTGTCCCCCTCCTGTGCTCCTATTCCCTGCCCTCGGTCACAGTCCAACCCCCTGCACCGCAGTTCAGTGCTGCAGGTCACAACTGCCTCCTTCATCCAAACTCCCTCCCTTACCCCAAGCTCCCTTCTGCACCCAACCTCTGTCTGAGACCCCTGCACCTCCTCCATTAATATCATGGAAGATTGCGGCCCTCAACCACTTTCCAAATTTTTGGAGTGTGTCCCCCCCCCGTAATTATTGCCCACTCCTGCTATAATGGCACTTGGTGAATAAGCCTGACTGCCTTGCTGCTGCTGCTTTGAACTACCTAGCTTTGTTAACTGCTTTTTAACAGCTGTTGTAAGCCTCGGACATGCCTCCTAATGCACCTTACGTTCTTAGGTACAGTTGTTTGCCACAGTGCACAAGGATTCACCTTTCCAATCACATTCCCATTCATACTTTTCTTTCATGTTAGCAATAGCCAAACTGCATGGAAGAGAAATCTGGTTCCATGTTAATGACATAAACAGCTGATTAAAGTAAACGTCAAGGATTTGACCAGCCAGGAAAAAAAAAAGAAAATAAAAGTCTGAACAAAGTTTACGATTGTGACTTTTTTGTTTTAAAAAAACCCAAAAAACTGTGTGGGGTTATAGTCATCAGACCATGCTGTTTAATAAGCTGTTGCCATATTATAGAGTAAATATCATAGGGTATGTCTACACAGCGAAGTTATTTTGAAATAACAGCGTTATTTCGAAATAACTTTACCAGCGTCTACACAGCCAAACCGCTATTTCGAAATTAAATTGAAATAGCAGAGGGCTTATTTCAAAATTGGTAAACCTCATTCCACGAGGAATAGCGCCAGTTTCGAAATTGCTATTTCAAAATAAGCGCTGTGTAGATGCTTTTTTCAAAATAGGGGGCCTCCAGCTCTTCCCAGGGTGCCCTGGTGGCCACTCTGGGCACAACCAAGGAAACTCCTCCCCCTCCTCCCCTCCCTGGAGCCCTTAAAGGAGCCACAGTGCCTGTGCCAGCTCCAAGCCTGCCAGTCCAGAGCCAACAGTCACTGCACCTGACTCAGTGGCCCCAGCATGAGCCAGGGCCAGCCAGCCCTCCACCGCTCCCCAGGACCAGTCTGCCAGCTCCCAGGAGCCTGCCAGGGGCTGGAAAAGGTGGGTGCCTTCCTGGTCCAGTGCGGAGATCAGGGACCTAATTCAGGTTTGGGGGGATGCCTCCAGCGTCCATGATCTCTGCACTAAATGGAGGAATGCAACCGTGTACAGGCGGATGGCTGCCATCCTGGTCACCAAAGGCCACATGAGAACCCAGGAGCAGGTTCACATAAAGATAAAGGAGCTGCAGCAGGCCTATGCCAGGGCCACAGGGGACAGCTCCCAACCAGGGGCAGACCCAGACCTGGGGGGCAGGATGGTCCGTGCCCCCCAGTTAGTCATTGGCCCTGGGGCAGAGCTTGCTGCCTCCTTCTACAACTGGTCTTTTTGCTAGTCCACTGAATAACCATTTGTCATAGGCTTTACTGTACCATGAAGTTATGATTAATATTATGGCTCGAGTACAGCGGGTTGAAAGACCACATTCATTTTCTCTCCCACTACTTCTCCCCCTCCTGTTTCTTCCTCCCCACCCTCCCCACATCCCCAGGGATACTGAGGCCCCTGCACCTGCGGTGCTGAGAAACAGTTGGACCGGCGAGACCCCCAACCCTGAGCTTCTCCTCCCCCTTCCTCCCCTTGCCTCCCCCTGCCAGCTCCCTCCTCCCAGGTTTCCCCCTTCCCTCTCCCACCTTCTTTCCCCAGTCTCACCTTAGTTTAATTCTCCCCCCACCCCAGTTTTGTTCAATAAAGAGGCTTTGTTTTAATGAACACGTGTCTTATATTGTACAGCAGGAAGGGGGGTTACGGAGGGGTAAGTGGAAAGACGTGAGGGAGGAATGAGGCACAAGCCCCCAGTGGGGCACACCAGGGAGACTTACTGCCTGTAGAACGTGCTGCCAGGCTCACAGCAACACATCCAGGAGAATCACCATAGTGCCCAGAGGTGGCTCCGGCTCCATGCTGCAGAGTGCTGTGGTGTCCTGAGTGAGGGCAACCAGAGCATACAGAGAAAAAAATGCTTTGCTGTCCCTCAGCAAAGTAGGCAAGCAAGCAGGGAAACCTTAGAACTGGCTGTCAGGGGTCGGGGGGAGGAGGCTCCTTAAAGCACAGGTCTCCGATATCTTGTGTGGCTACTGCCTGAGGCTAACTCCTGACCTGAAGTCCTGCCAGAACCAGTTCCAGCCTGCTTTAAATGCGATTCAGTGTCCTATCAGTGTGGATGTGCTATTTCAAAATAGCAAAACGCTATTTTGAAATGCATTTAGTGTCTAGACGTGTTATTTTGAAATAAGCTATTTCGAAATAATGCTGTAGTGTAGACATACCCACTACTGTGCATTTTTATAGATTTCATTAAACTTAGTGAAAACTCTGAGTACACGTATTTAACACAGACCGGGCATGTCGATCGAATGTTAATATTTAAAAAAAAAAAAAAAAGTAGGTGTGCTCAGTTGTGGAGGTTTTGTTTTGTTTGTTTGTTTTTGGCAGGTAAATGCATTTTGTGTGAGTATTGAATACAAGGTAACCAAATATCTTGATTGATGTGCCTGGTCTATTAAATATGTATTTAATGTCTTATTTAAAAAAAAAAAGGCTTTGTGTTTTAATGGTTGTTTTGCTTCCTGTATTTACGTGGCAAAGGTTTGTACACTTGTTAAAACTTCCTAAATAAATTTTTTGTTTTTAGATGTATGCCAACCTAGCTGTGTCACCTAGGGGCGTGAAAAATTCACGTAGCTCAGAGAAATAGTTAAGCCGATACAAGCCCTGGCAGAGAGAGAATGCATGGTCAACAGAAGAATTCTGTCTATTTAGCTACTGCATTTTGTGGGAGGACAGATTAAACACAGTAACAGAAAAACCCCTGTCTCTTGCAATATCAAGAGTCCACACTTCAGCACTAGGGATGTAAAAAGTTGGTTTAAAAGGTAACCGTGTAACTGCAGAAAATCTTACCAGTTACATATGCTGCGGGTTCTGCAGTATAATGCTTAAATAAGCTTTATATTGCAGAGCCCACAGTGAAGCTTCCCTGAGAGTACAGCCACTTCGTGGCCACAGGGGCTGCCGGCTCTGCTCCCAAGGAGGAAGCTTTGCTGCAGCAGTGAAGCTGTTCCTGGGAGCTGAGCAGAGTGTAACAGATAAAATTAACCAATAAGCAACAGCTTGTCGGTTAATCGGTTAACAGGTCAATCACGAACATCCGTTCAACATTCAGCGCTGCAGTGCCATAGCTGTGCCTCTGTAGTATAGACATAGGCTCAGTCGCTCGTGGTGGCACACAGAGTACTTTCTTCAGAGCTGGTACTCCTGCCTGCACAGGCATTTTCCCCCTAACTGCAAGAAGTTGTCTGAAATTGGATCTGAGGGAAGTCTGTCTTTGACTGAAGCAGGTGGTGTAGGCAGGACTTTCTTTTGGTTACTCTTTTTTCTTTGCATTACCAGCTGTCCCCTGAGAATGCCTACGATGTGCTGTGTGTAGCAGACATGTACCTGTTGCCTGGGCTCAAACGTTTGTGTGGGAGAACCTTGGCTCAGATACTGGATGAGGACAATGTTGTCAATATCTGGAGGATTGCAAAGCTGTTCCAGCTGACCCGACTGGAGGACCAGTGCACAGAGTACATGGCAAAGATCATTGAGAAGGTATGCAAAACTCCTCCCTAAGATGGTTCAGGTGTGACTACTAAACGTGTATCTAAGTGTTGCCATGGTTTAATGGTTTGACTTCCGAAGATATTGGGTCATAAGTGAAATGAATTTTGTAGTCCCATCTTGGTCCTCAGTTTGACCCACTGTGCAAGTTGACATGAGTGGTGAAGAACACTACAGCTATGAAATAGCATAGGGTGACCAGATATCCCAGTTTTAGAGGGACAGCCCTGCTATTCGGGGCTTTCTGATACAAGTGCCTATTACCTCCCAGCCTGTCCTGATTTTTCACACTTGGTATGTGGTCACCTTAGAATAGGATGGAGTGCTGCAGGTCATGACTGATGTGCCCCCCAGTTCTGTGTGCAGGGAGTATGTGGGCACGTTGATCTCCATATTTGGTTCTTCCCTGGTGCAATTAGTTACATTGCCCCAAAAAGTAGTGTGGCAGGTTTAGAACAGAAGGCTATAAAAAGTAGAGGAGGGGAGATATAAAGACCTCAGACGGGGGAGATCCCTGCTCCCAGAGTAACAGGGAGGGGCTGGTTTAGAACCAGCAAAGGCAATCAGGGGCAATGGAACACCTGGAGCTAACTGCCCAGGCCTGCAGAGTCAGGCCAGCCTAGGCCAGTTAGGACACCTGGGGGTAATTAAGAAAATCAGTTCAGACTGGCTATAAAAGAAGCTGGCCTGCAGTTGTAGGGTACGTGCAGCTGGGAGGAAGGAGGTTAGTGTGGCTGGGAGTAAGAGGAAAGGTGATCACAACTAGAAGGATGAATATGAGAGAAGGAAGGTGCTTGGGAAGGTGTGGGTTTGGGAGCTGTATTATAGCAGGTGTTAGGGATTCACACGAGCAGCTACTATCACAGGGCCCTGGGCTGGAACCCAGAGTAGAGGCTGGGCCTAGGTCCCCCCCAACACCCACCTCCCCATTTCCACTCGGGGAAAAGGACTGTGGAGTTTATTCTCTATTTTACCAGATGCTAGCCAACGATGAAAAGAGCTCAACAGCAAATTAGAGCCCCAGGCATGGTGCCTAAAACTGCGAGTTGCTGTGAGCCTGTAAGGCAAGCAAATCCGCCAGGAAGTGCAGGACCCATTGAGTTTTCATAGGAGCTTTGTCACAGTCAATTACAGAGACTTCCATAGGGAAAGCTTATTACTAATGGTTCATTAAATACAAAGTCTTATTACACTGGAATCATATTTACAAGGATCAATTTGAGCATTCCTTCCCACTGTGTGTTCTTTTTTTGCCATTCTCTCTGGCTGCTTGGAGATCCAGGAGTCAGTGACGTCTACAGAGAAACAGTGACCATATGGCACAGACAGTCTCAGTTCTTCTAAGTATTTTGGTTTCTAGCGGGGTCAGTAGTTTTATATAAACGGTTCTAATTAACACTCCCACGTGAGCTGCAACTTTCTTTACCTGCAGCTAAGAGGCTCTGAGAAAGGTGTGAAACTCTTTCCTGCCTGTGCAAACAGTGAAGAAAATAATTTACAAATAGTTCTTCTCACTCTGAACTGCCAATGAACAATACAAATGAGGGAACCAAGACATCAGCATATGACCAGAACTGGGTTCTGGAAAGGGGATTTGATCCCACAGCTCAGTGAATTGCATAAGCAGTGATCAGGAATGCTGAATGGTTGCCTCTGGGGCTTTGCCTAGGATAAGAATTGTAGGGCATTCCCCCATTGTTTTACTTGTGCGGGAATGCTGAATTGTTGCCACTGGGGCTTTGCCTAGGATAAGAACTTTAGGGCATTCCCCCATTGTTTTACTTGTGCTAAGAGAAATGGGAGTGCTGGTGTAGGGAGGACTCCAGGGAGCCACAAACTGTGTCACCTAGTGGTGCACAGAGCAAGTTGAGATGACTCAATGGTTAGATGGCCAGCAGATGTCAGCCCCTTGCATACAACAGCATTTTAAGAGAGCCGAATTGGTATTGGCAATGACGGGAAGTTCTTGGCCAAACAGTATAGTGTAGACTAGGTCTATGGTTCCATTGCAAGATGGACATTTCTTACCTGTCTCTGCCATGACAGAAGCTGTTGACATTCCCTGTGGAGTTTTTGTTTCCTGGTCTTTCTCTTTGCTTTGGGGGAAATATTGTGAGTTGTGTAAGTGGTTTCCGAACATGGCCGTGATGGACATTGACAGGTTTTGTCTGCTCTTTAGCCGTCACAAAAAAGACTGAAATGTTTTAAAGGTGCAGATTTAACAGCCCTGGGGACTGAATTTTTGTGTTTTTCCATAGAGCAGATACAGTCTTGGCAATGGCAGGAGAAGCTTCTTCTGTCGGGTGTCCATTGCTGCTATGCCTGGAAGCATCCCTGTAACGTGTGAAGAGGGAATTCAGCCTCTAGGGGCTATTCAGCCCTTGGCACTCTTTATCCTCCTTGCTGGAAGTCTCATTAGAAGGTCCAACTATGGGGATTACCTTGTTTTGGTCACTTTCTCAGTGATAACTAAGCAGACACCCTCCAACTCATTTCACAAAGGCAGGTTCCTGAACTCTCTAGACTTTCACTCATTACCAGCCTGAGCTAGATTTGAACTGGTGACGTAGTAGTGAAAGGCTGAACATGGAACATGGCAATTTCCCTTCAGCTTTGCAGCTCCCCTCATAGATGCCTTGTCATGATTGCAGGATTCGGGGTGTCTGGGTGTACAGCCTGCATAGCCTCGCTACGTGTGAGCACTCCCACCCTCTTAGCTTGTTGTACGTGCTTGGCCAAATCTTCCCCGACCAGCATAGGAATGGGGTAGTCATCATAGACTGCGAAAGTCCAAGTTCCAGACCAGCCCTTGTACTGAACTGGTAGCTTGGCCGTAGGCAGGTCGAAGGGGTCGGCCTTGAAGGGTTGAATGGTGACTAGAGTCTCTGGGTCAATGGCCTTGGGGTCCACTAGAGCGTGGTGAATCACTGACACCTGTGCCCCGGTGTCTCTCCATGCGATAACTTCCCGTCCCCCCACTCTCACAGTCTCCCTCCGCTCTAGGGGGATCAGTGAGGCATCTGGGCCTGAGGCTCCTTGTGGCAACCCCGGAGTGATGAGTTGTAGCCGGCTGGTGCTCTGGGGACAGTCGGCCTTTACATGCCCCAGTCCATTACATTTAAAGCATCGCCTCCCAGCGGTATCATTGGAACAGGGGGAGGGGCTCCCAGCAGATGGTATGGAGGAACGGGGAGAGATCTGGGGTCTTCCTGGGTGTATATAGGGCCCGTCTCTGCGAGGTGGGGATCGGGGGGATCCCCAGGTGTTGATGGGCCCCCTCAGACTGCTTTCCAGGCTGCTGTGGCCCCTCAGTTCCATCCATCTGGCCCCAAGCACTGCTGCCTCTCTGAGGTTTTTTGGTTTTCCGTCCAGATGTACCCTCTAATCTCTCCTGGAACACCCTCGAGGAACTGTTCCATCTGCATCAGGAGAGAGATTTCTTCCCGAGTGTGGGCCTTCTCTCCAGAGAGCCACGTTTCCCAGTTTTTGAGGACACGACTAGCATGTTCGGGGAACGGTGTATTTGGGGTCCACTTGGAGGCCCTGAAGCGACACCGGGCCTGTTCAGGAGTGAGGCCCATCCTGAGTCTGGCCTCCTGCTTAAACAGTTCAAAGTCATTTGCCATGTCACCTGGCTGGTCTGCGGCTACCCCCAGTAAGGGACCAGCGATTTGGGATCTTAACTCTCTCATGTACTGATCAGGAGGAATGTTGTACCCCTGGCAGGCCCTCTCAAAGTTGAGGAAAAAGTCCTCAACATTATCCCCTACTTGGTACATGGGGAGCTTTCTGGGGGGTTCAATGATGATGGAGGTGGGAGTGTTGGATGGGCTAACCCTCATAATCATGACAGCTGTCACCTCAGGAGCATCCTGCTTTTCTGTGCAGGGCAGGAGAGGGAGAGGAGGGTGCTGATGTCAAAGTGCCCCCTCCTCTCAAACCCTGTATCCTATCTCCACACAGCAAAGAGGGGGCACAGCAGGACTTGGGATGGAGTTTGCTGGCTGCTTTTGGGAGTGGTGCAGGGCCAGGACAGCCTGCCTTAGCCCCATTGGGCTCTGAGGCTGTCTCTGCCTCAGGGTGTTGCTTAGGAAGGATTGGGTTCTCTAGGGTTACCTTACCTGATCGCAAGAGCATGTACTGGGCTCCTTCCCTGCTCTATTCTAGCCTAGCTATCCAGTTGTCCCGAAAGCTAGAAAAAAACAAACTGTTTGGGTAGGTCTGTGTCTGGCTTAAGGTCTGCCCCTCCCTGAGGCAGCCCAGAAACAAAAGAAAAAACAAAAGGAAAACTGCAAAGCTTGCAACTCAAAAGAAAAAACTTGCCTCGGAGAAGGGACACAAAGGAGGCGGGGCAGGATATTTGGGTTTGAGGTAGATATTGGGTTGCACTTAAATTCAAAAAGTGATCTCATGGTCTAAATCATCCCCGATAGATGTCTATCCAACCTGTTCTTACATATCTCTAGAGACAGTGATCCCACAGCCTCCCCAGGCAATTTATTCCAGTATTTAAGCACCCTGGCAGTTAGGAAGTTTTTCCTAATGTCCAACCTAAACCTCTCTGGCTGCAATTTAAGCCCATTGCTATTTGTCCTATCATCAGAAGCTAAGGAGAACAATTTTTCTTCGTCCCTCTTGCAACACCATTTTAGATACTTGAAAACTGCTATCATGTCCCCTCTCAGTGTTCTGAAAGACCCTGCAACAAATTATGAAACAATCAGCATGTGAACACCTAAAGGATAGTGGGGTTATAAGGAATAGCCAGAATATAGCTGTCAAAAACAAATCTTGCCAAACCAACTTAGTGGACAAGTGAAAAGCAGAGGGTATGAAATATCTTAATTTTACTAAGGCTTTTGACACATCCCACATGACATTCTCATAAACAAACAAGAGAAATGTAAACTAGATGAAATTATTATAAGTTCACAGTAGGTTGACTATACTCAAAATATAGCTATCAATTGTTTACTGGCAAAATGGAAGGGTGTATCTAGTAGGGTCTCACAAATTCAGTCCAGGATCTAGAATATAATTCAATATTTTTCATTCAAGACTTTGATAATGGAGTATAGTGCATGATTACAAACCTTGCACATGACACTACACTGAGGGAGACTGCAACTGCTTTGGAGGATAGGATTAGAATTCAAAATTACCTTGACAAGTTGGAGAACTGGTCTGAAATCAACAAGATGAAAGATAAGTTCACAGTGCTAAACTTAAGAATGGGAAATAACTGGCTAGGAGGTAGTACTGCAGAAAAGGATCTGGGTCTTATAATAAAATTGAATATGAGTCATCAATGTGATGCAGTTGAAAAAAAAAACCCAGCTAATGTCATTCTAGGATGTATTAACAGGAATATCATATATAAAAACAGAGAGGATAGTTCTCCCACTCTACTCAGAACTGTTGAGGACTCAATTAGAGTACTATGTCCAAGTCTAGAAAAGATTTGAACAAACTGTAGATAGTCCAGATCAGATCAACAAAACTGATAGAAGGTTTAGAAAATTTGACCTGTGAAGATAGGTTTTAAAAAATGGGGCATGTTTAGTCTTGATTAAAAGAAGAGTTGGTAGCAGTGTTAAAATACATTGATGGCCTTATACAGAGGACAGGGATCAATTGCTCTCTCCGTCCAGGATGTACCCTCTAATCTCTCCTGGCACACCCTCGAGGAACTGTTCCATCTGCATCAGGAGAGAGATTTCTTCCCGAGTGTGGGCCTGCTCTCCAGAGAGCCACGTTTCCCAGTTTTTGAGGACACGACTAGCATGTTCGGGGAACGGTGTATTTGGGGTCCACTTGGAGGCCCTGAAGCGACACCGGGCCTGTTCAGGGGTGAGGCCCATCCTGAGTCTGGCCTCCTGCTTAAACAGTTCATAGTCATTTGCCATGTCACCTGGCAGGTCCGCGGCTACCCCCAGTAAGGGACCAGCGATTTGGAATCTTAACTCTCTCATGTACTGATCAGGAGGAATGTTGTACCCCTGGCAGGCCCTCTCAAAGTTGAGGAAAAAGTCCTCAACATTATCCCCTACTTGGTACATGGGGAGCTTTCTGGGGGGTTCAGTGATGGATCTTAACTCTCTCATGTACTGATCAGGAGGAATGTTGTACCCCTGGCAGGCCCTCTCAAAGTTGAGGAAAAAGTCCTCAACATTATCCCCTACTTGGTACATGGGGAGCTTTCTGGGGGGTTCAGTGATGATGGAGGTGGGATTGTTGGGTGGGCTACCTGAGGTGTCCGGCTGCCTGGCTTTCTCCAGCGCAACTTGGGCCTCTAGTTCTGCTCGCCTCGTCCCTGCTGCGATCTTTGCCAGTTTCACCTCCTGTTGTATACGCCTGTCTTCGGCCTCTCGTGCACGTCTGTCTTCAGCCTCTCGTGCACGCCTGTCCTCCAGCTGTAGGAAAAACTCCATCTCCTTGTCAGTTAGAGGCCTGCTGGTCCTTATGGCATAATCACACACAGAAGGCACAGGTGGGGGAGAGGGAGAGCGGCAGCCGGCTGCTCCTGCCTCCTCAAGATCCCTTCCCCCGGGCTCACAGAGGTATGCTCTTGTTTCCCCTCTCTGGGGTTGGAATCTTTCCCGGTACTTAACATCATGCCGGGCTCTGAGGCTGTCTCTGCCTCAGGGTGTTGCTTAGGAAGGATTGGGTTCTCTAGGGTTACCTTACCTGATCGCAAGAGCATGTACTGGGCTCCTTCCCTGCTCTATTCTAGCCTAGCTATCCAGTTGTCCCGAAAGCTAGAAAAAAACAAACTGTTTGGGTAGGTCTGTGTCTGGCTTAAGGTCTGCCCCTCCCTGAGGCAGCCCAGAAACAAAAGAAAAAACAAAAGGAAAACTGCAAAGCTTGCAACTCAAAAGAAAACTTGTGCCCTTTTAAAAATCCTGGGTTCTCAAAATAATCCCACCGCTACCACCATGTCATGGCTCCTTCCCCACTCTGGCATGATAAATGCAGAAGTGGGGGCCAGCAAGTGTACCCCAAAGCCTTATCTACCAGGCTTTGGTATAAAACTTCCCCCAAAATCTTAAAAACCTAGATCTTGGGAATAAAACTTCCGCTGCCACCACCCAAATGTTGCTAAAGAAACCAGGGGAAAGATCATTTGGGAAATCTCACCCCTAAAATAAAAATCAAGGCACACAATTAACCACTGCCAGGTTAATAAAAAGAAAAGAAAGAACTTTTATTATTACAACAATATTCCTGTTGCAAACATAATGACTAGATAGGGAGGTAACAAAATATACTCATGGAGAAACTCCATGGGCCTAGAACTTAGTTACAAAGAAAAGCCAAAACATCTTTTAAGCAGTGCCAGATCTCAGATCCCATACCCAACCCTTAAAATCTTGTACCTCTCTGTAGCTGCAGAGAACTCTCTCAGAGAGCCAAAGGGGAGAAAGGAAAAAACCCAAAATCCTTTGTCCCAGGTTGAAAGTCCCACCTACATTCCTATTGGTCACGACACCTGGCTAGGTGTAGTTAACCCCTTAATCCCCAGGCTGCTGGCTAACCCTCATAATCATGACAGCCTTGTCTTCATCTTTCCAGCTGGTGGAGTTGGAGGAGTTTGCAGCTGCAGTGAAGGAGAATGCAGAGGCAGTGGAGGAACGGCAGGAGACCGATTCTATCCCTCTGGTAGATGACATCCGCTTCCACATCACCAGCAACGTGCAGACTTACAGTGCCATCGAGGAGGCCAATCAGAAATTAGAGGCACTGGAAAACCTCCTGGCCAGCATAGGACTTGAGTGCTGAAGTCTGTAAACCCTGCTGTTGGATGCGGAGAGCAGCCTGTGTCACCTCCAGAGGGTTGCATGAGAGTCCAAGAAGATCTAAGAGTCAAATGAGTTTTCTTTTTTCCTCTTCTCCATCCCACACCCCCTCCCCGCATCTGTGGTTTGGTTTCCTTTTAATTCATTCATGGCTGGACACCTGCATGTTTATTTTTTCCTTCCATTAATAGGATCCCAAAGTGCAGCCCAGATTGATAGTGCTTGTACGATACAGCGCTGGGAGGGAACTCACAACCATGTGGCTAATGGAGCTGTCTTAAGGAGCTCAGTGACATCTGGCCCATGGAGATGATTCACCCTCTTAGCCAGCATTGCATTTCTGCATTTGCTCCACGCCAGGGTTTTTGTATAGTTCTACAGGGGACAAGAATGGATTATGCTGAGTGTAAAGGAATCTATTCAGATCAAACTGGCTAATCTTTCACTATCCGTACTATGAGGAGTTAGTGGAGAGGATGGTACTTTAATGGGACACATGATGTTGCTTATAGGGGCACTAGCTGACCTCAACTGCTATTCCACAAATCAATGGGCTCCTCCAAGTGTTGGCACCTGCATTTACACCCTCAGGCTAGTATGGACATTTAGTTTTTAAGTCCCAAATATAGACCTGTAGAGAGCAGCAGGAGAGAGACCCAGTCTCCTAAAGAGCCAGTAACTCTTCAAAGGCACTGATGTAGAGGTACTGCCCTTGCCTCACTCTAACGGGGAGGAGACTCCTTTCCTCTCACAGTTCCTCCTTATTCTTTTTTTGGCCTGTTGCGAGGAGAGACTTATCAAAGTTTTAAGGGTGGGTGACAAGGAAAAGAGCTTTATAAGGTCTCTCTTCATCTGTCCTGCTCTTTTGTCTTCTGCCTGTGCTCAGGCTTAAAAACCTTGTTTTCCCAGAATGCTCATTGTTCATTCTTGCAAATGTGTTTGGGGGGTTCTTCCTCTGCAGTAGATAGTTATCTTTTGAAATCTGGTCTCCCTTGGCGATTAGGGAGGGAAGGTGCTGCTTTATTTTTCTCCTTTTCTCAATATCAGTCAGCAGGCCACAACTCTCTGAGCCCTACTTCCTTGCTGTTACAGCCCTTCCCTGTAAGCAAGCCATCCTTTCTCATTAGATGTCCCTTTTAGTGTTGCACTGTTTCTAGATACCCTCGGAAATGGAAGTGTAGCAAGAGTTTTATTTGTAGCTTTGGTTTCTGTGACTGTGTGAGTGGAAGTTGCAATTTTATGGGAAGTTAGGATTATGAAATGACTTTAGGTTGGAGTCAGTGATCCTGTGTGCTGATGCTGAGTAATATTCCAAAGAGACAGTATTGTCAGTGTACAGGACAATTACATCCTCTCTTTATTAACTTATGAGTAAGGTCAGGCTATTTTATTGATGTTGGCTAGAGACAGGAAAGGCATCTATAGTCATAAAATTTTACCTGCTCAAGGATGGACTATGGTTACTAAACTTTCTGGAGTTGTCATCTGAGTCCCATGAATTCATTGTCGGGTTTTCCCAGAGAGCAAAGCATGGAAGCTTAACTGCTCTTACCCTTTAGAGAGTCATAGGAAGCGGGTGCTTAATGGTGAGAGGCATAGCACAAAGGATGTTTTGTAATGTTGGAACTGCAGCCAAGGACTTTGCCGTGCTTTGTGTTACTAATTCTCCTCTGAATTATCTCCTCTGAATTATGTCCTATGTGAATCTTGATTTGTCGGGAAGGAAGTGGAGTCTTTCTTCTGGACTGGGGGCCTAAGAGGGAGAAAATTGGGCTGTATTAGTTACATGGGGAATCCTATAAAAATGTTGGTGCTGTCATCACCGTAGGATGTTGCAAGTAACTGCATGATGCAGTGGTTTAAAACCACACCCCAGCGATTTGTGCTTTCTTGTGTTGGCCCTGTGCATTGTTCATGCAGATAGGTGATCTGGGTCCCCATCAGCTCCTCTGACCATGCATCTGGTAGCATTTTTCAAACATATGCAAGGAAAGAGATTTAAGTTTCCCTGAATGGCAAGGACAGTGTTACATGAGCTCTATGCTGTCCTTTACCATCTGCTAGCTTGACTTCTGACATGGCTTGGACAGCTAGTGAAATTGTATTTGTTGGTCTTGGTTTAGTCATGATTATGAAGTTGCTACATAGTTTGGCTAAGACTGTGTTCCAAAAAGGCTGTGTTGGTAGAGCAGCAGGTATTGCTTGCCAGGGTTGAGCTGTATTGGTAGAGTAGTGCATAGAACAGATTAGCAGGTCAGGACTGAAATGTGTTGTCAAAGCTGGGAGTTTTCAACTATGTATTGAAGAGGGTTCTCTTTATCCATATTTATGTGGTATGTCCTGCAGACCAGGCAGCTTTGGGGAGAGTATTTCTGGAATGCCCTGAGCTATTAGAGCAGTATCTGCCTCTGTTTCTGTTAGAAATTCCTTTGCGGGAAGCAGGTACGTTTTCTGGCTTGGTTTTTGCAAGTAGGGGTTCTGTTAGAAATTCCTTTGTGGGAAACAGGTACGTTTTCTGGCTTGGTTTTTGCAAGTAGGTGCCAGTATCTTGGTTCCATAGTGTGCATGCCTAGTCGTGTGTGAGAATGGGGACATGGGAAGAGAAACTGCAAGTTCTGCTCTGTAGATGGGTGTATTTCAGAACATCATAGGTCTGTGAACTTCAGTATCCAGCTACAGAGCACAAGACTACCTTGGACTGGAGAACGGAATGACAGAACAATGAAGTTCTGAGAGCCAAAAGTAACCTGGGCTGTGAAGCATGTCTCAAACCTAAGATTTGGGGGGAAGGGATGGTTAGAAGACCAGTACTAAATCCTTGTATTCTGTGTCATGGGAAGAGGGTCAGTGTTTGTTCACCCTGTGAAGTGTAAGGCTCTTTAAAGGTCCTGCAAAACCTGTCATTCAGAAACATTTTAGCTAAACTGGTACCATTTACCTTCATACCTTCATTTCTCTTCCCTTTATTGCTAAAGATGATTTTGTATATAAGCATGATGCGCAGGTTCTTATCACTGCTTCTCTGCTCCTGCTGTATAACTTCCTCAGTCCCCTGCTTGCAACACAACCTTCCTTTCCACAGCAACCGTTGTCACATCTCCCCCTCCCACCCAGAGGACTACAGGCCACACTAACTTAGATGGATTTATACCAGCTATAAATTTGACTTTTGCCCTTTAAAGCATGGTGTGTGTTGGAAGTGAGATTCAAGAGCAGGACTGTTGAGAAATTCACTACCTTTATCCATGCAGGTATCTTCACTTCAAGTAATGAGAAATGGTGCAGAAATGAACGAAATGGTAGTCAGACAGTTTCTGACATTCCCCCCCTGCCCACATGGCTGTTACTAATTATGTCCATTTAAGTGGAGAACTACTTAGTAGATGATCACTTTTGGGATAAAAGATCAATGTGGCATTTTTATTTTCCTCCCCGGTAATGCAGTTCTGTTAAATGTGCTGGCTGACCTCAGAACTGAATTCAGAACACCTTTTTCTATCCAGCGGTACGTAGTGGTTCAATCTCTGAACTAAACTGGATTGTCCAGTTACTGAGTATCTAGGTATCCTTCATCTCTCTGAAAAACAGATGAGCGGGTATTTAACAAACTCCTTAACTGAAAAATAAACAAAGTGGTTTTGTAATGTGTTGAACTCACTTCAGTGTGGCAAATAACTTGCAAGATTGGAAAAATTAGGATTTCTCTTCTGTCTGTCTTTTTTTGTGTTCTGCTGTCCCCATCCTCTTAATTTACTATTAGCAATTCGTTGAAGTAAGAAAACTGTACAGTTTTATCAGAGCAGCAATATAATACAAATATTTGAAAATGTAATGTGTGAGCATGTGTGCAGCAATAAAAAAATATATATTTCACTATGCCTGTTTCTGCTGTGGTCTGTTTGTTAATGACTTAACATTCTCAGTGTGTTATTTCTGAAAAGACCCAGGTGGTACGTTTATCCTGCACTGCCCATTCCCACCCACCTACCAAATAGCCTTTTTCTGCTCTCAAGCAGTAGGGATGAAACATGTGTGCACCCTCTCCCTCTTCCTCCCCC